ATGGTACTCTAGTATATTGTCTTGATTTCAAATGTTGTAGGTGCGTATGTGTTGTTTAATGCTGCATTCAGCAATTTGAGCTATATTATTGCAGCCTTGTAATAATTGAGACTGTAAAAAAGAATCCATGATTGATATTATGAGCTCCCTGTTCTCACCCTCTTGTTTTGGTGGCTGTCTGGACCACCCCAGTGGATTGGAAGGTTTTCACTCTCACTTGCACCTTCTGGTTGTCGTTTGTCCTTGTGAAGGGATTGTTCTGCCTCTGATGTCCCCTTGTTAGAGGATGATGTGGCATATACAACAATTAAGATGATTGAGAAATTGTTTTGGTTCATGGTTTCTTACACCAAGATGTTGCTGAGGATGACACAGCTAAATCTTCCTTTGGATTTGCTTGGATACACACACAGAGTGGTAGCTGATGAGCATGCTCCTTCTTAGCGTCCCTCTGGTGAAAGGGCTTCACGTGACCCTAATTGTTTTTGCACACGTACCTCTCCTAGATCCTCTGGTCGTCGTTCATCACTGATTCCATCTCGTTGGGATCGTCACTCCTGAAGTCGCTCTCAATCTCTTTCGGCTTCTCCTGTTTAGATGCCTTGTCTGCTATGGATCCTGCTGTGATGGTCCCACCTCCTACAGAGCCACTCCCTCGAATTGGGATCATAGAGACCAGCTTTCTGAACTGGATCCGAGCCTTAACTCTATCCTACATTTAGTCTCAAAGGTGTTACAGCAATGTTTTAGACAATCTATGAATCCCGTTACAGTGTCCTCACAGTCCACTCCTCCTGGTTCCGATGTTCCTGTCCCTTTGCTTGTAGGACATGTACCTTATAACTACTGCTTTGGGCCATCAACCTTCCCCAATTTCCATCTAAGATAGTTTCGAACACACTGACCCAGCTTTAGTCCACCATTGGATCGCCAAGCAGCTCCACCTTAGTTGCAGCACTTTAAATGTGGATTATTTATCTGATTTTGCGGTCCCATCAGCAAGCTCTCAAAAATCATTGTTCCTCCAAGTACTGCTTGATATCTCCACCAGTAGTATACCGTAGGTAATGGTGATTCTGGACCACTTCCACTGGAGCCAGATTTATATACCGAAGGAGAGGGAGTTGAGACTTGGATTGTATAAAAAGTACCGCAGAGCCGTGAATGCTCTCGACGGAGTTGACACCGCGCTGGTAACCGCTAGCATGGGACTCTGTGTAGCCGGTGTTGATTTACTATCAACTATAATCGCCGCGCCTATCATACTTGGCATGGAAATAGCCGCCGGAGTCTGGCAGGAATAGCGATATCTCCACACTCTGCCCCAAGCATTTTACTATTACGGCGATCCTCAACCTCAAAGGACATTCATCTGCAGGTTTCTCCTCCTCTATCTTCAGTGTCATCATTTGGACGATCAGGAAATGAAGTACCACCAGCAATCGCAGTTTGTGCCTTGTTTTCCAAGGCCGCCATTCCAATCAAATGTAGTCCCCTTTGGAATTTCGTTGGCCCCTGCCTCACCAACCCTATAACTAAATTCCTTCATCTTGGAGAAATTGTGTTGGAATCATACATTGACAACTGCATTCAGGCCAACACAGACTCCTGTTTATCTACAACATTTTGAGTTCACGCAACGTCTTCTGGCTGGCTTGTCAACATCAGCAAGTCCGAGACGCTCCCACTCAGTGACTCGATGCCCTTTGTGACACCCATCTGGGCGAATTGTTTGTCCCTCCGGATCGTTGGTTATCCTTGGTTCTCCTTGTTCATTAGAATAAATTACTTCCCCAAAAGCATTAATCAACACTGGCATGTTTAAGACAATATGAAAAAAATCGCTTGTGATGAACCAACATGTTTGCACTGTCTCCCTCTCATTATTGCAGTAAACCTTCAAATAAATGGCATGCATTTCAGGGTTTAGATAAAAATAAAACTTAAAAATTAACTACATATCGAGGTGTTTAAGAAATTAGCAGACCAAATATGACTTGTGATAAGCAATTGTTTAAAATGATACAAATGCATGTAATTTCTATTCAATTATTTCTTAGAGAAATGTCGTTCTTTTTTGGCAGTAAACTTTATAACAAATGTTGTGCATTTCAGGGTTTAAATAAAACTTAAACTGAACAACTAACAAAAAGTCAAATTTTAAGAACTACTGACCAAATATGACATGTTATATAATATAAGCAATTGTTTAAAATATAGATTTGCCTGTTAAAAAAATAAATAAATGAAAATTACCCTTTTTTTTATGTCCGCCAATCTTTTCATAAAAAAGTTCAAACAAAAATAGATTTCATTTCCTTGTCGAGCGTAAAGCAAAGGGAAGTCACTCTGATATTTCTCACTGGGATCCTTCTCTAATACCATCAAAGCTTGTCAACGCAAAGCGCAGTAGTGACCAGTTTAACTCTTTCAACACTGTTGGCCTGTCAAGAAGCCACGAGTCACACACCGCAGGGTAGACAGACCAAGTCACGTCAAAATAGTTTATCACTTTTTTAACGTAATCCATTTGATTTTATCATTGTTTATCTATAGATTAAAAATTTATTCACTAGACACTATATTTCCCGCAATTCGACAACGGGTCCTCATCGAACATGTCAAACAGCAAAACAAAGATGTTTGAAGCAAATCTTTGAATATATTATATAAAGTAATAAAATCAACAAAAATATATCTAAACGTTGCCAAACTGACATCTAAGTTATTATTTCCATCTTTTCGTGCGATTGCATGTAATCGTAAGTCAAATGACATCTCGGTTTTCGTCGCCTCGAATTCTCGGCTTGGACACGATGTCTTTAATGCCCAAATATATGCATATGAAATCTTTGTCACAGCTCGTAAACTAGCACTATGCATCCATTAAGTTCCATATTTTTAATATTGATCGCGATTTCATGCTTAAAACTTTCAGAATAACAAGATTTAACCCAAACCTTTCGCCAAAGTCTGAAAATTACCGTTGCTGTAATTTGATTGGCTGCCTTAGGTCACATGCTTAAATTTGACCAATCACGAACCTTGTACATATTATGTCGGTGAAACAATATAATTTTTTTTTAATGTATACTGACATGGCAGCCTTTGACGTATGTGTTATTCATACGAAGCTTTGAAAACAGAGGTATTTCCTCATGTTAGTGAGCGGACAGCCACTATCATCGGGAAATGGGTGATGACAGATATTATTTGTAATTCTTTTTAAAATAATGTTTCCGACTGCGTAAACAAATGAAAATAAAAAAGAAATAGGTAAGTGGATTTTTTAAAATCTTATATTTGCCGAAAATTTTCGCTTCATTAGTCCTTAATCTGGACGTTATGAATGTTTAAGCTTAAATTATTTTTATTTATAACAAACTTTATTAAGTTGTTAATGAATTATTTAAATAATGTAATACACATAACTTTCATATTGAACATGTAGTAGCAAAGATGTTTTACAAGCAGATAATTTCCTTGATAAATGTTGGCTTCATCTATCACACAAGACTCTCTAGGAACTTCTGATTGGCTGGTGTTGAAAGAGTTAAACGTTGCCCATGCTGCCAAAATAGCAGTGTCTTTCATACATTTCCACCCATGACATGAATATTGTTATATTGCCATTTGTGCACAAGCTGAGTGCCAGGGATATAATAAAATGTTTTTGAAAAATTTAGTTATTTTACTTTCGTTACTCCAGGATATTTTTTTTCCTACCTACCTAACTTTTTAGGACAAAATTCAAGTAAAAATAAATGTGAGAGGCTTTTTTTTCTTTTTTTTAAAATTGGCCTACCTCACTTTTGAAATGAGTTTGAAATCCGTCAACCAAGAAATAAAAAAAGTGTCGCCTAATGCCATATTTCATTTTCCCATGCAAAAATATTACAAACAGACCACGGCTGCATGGCTCCATTTGACTGATATATAATACAATCACTACAAACTGCTAACAACATCAGTCTTGTCCTGAGTTGGGCTGCCCCTTCATGAGACTGTAGGGGCGGTCGGGTAGCCCAGTGGTTAAAGCGTTTGTTTGTCACACCGAAGACCCAGGTTCGATTCTCGACATGGGTACAATGTGTGAAGCCCATTTCTGGTGTCCCCCGCCGCGATATTGCTGGAATATTGCTAAAAGCAGCGTAAAACCATACTCACTCACTCACTCATGGGACTTTAGTGGTGTGGTGATAATTTATTGATGGCCTTACACATTTAGAACAGTTTGGAAAGGAGCTTGTGTGCATCATTCGACAAAGTAATGAACTGACATTTTTCTTGCAACCTGCAATGAATGCTAGTTATGGAGAGTATTTGATTTCTTAATTTAAAGGTTTGTTATAATGTTGGATGAAATCAGACAAATAAAAAAAGTGAAATCGCACATTTTGAAAATAATAAATATTTGAAATTCATCCCATCACTTAAATACATTCTCATATTGACATTTTAAGGTACTGACTTTAATTAGTAAAAGTGAAAGCCACTTGTTTGTTAAAACGGCATTATTTTACTGTCAAAATTGGTTGTTGTTTTTTGTCCAAAGACATTATCCATAACAGTTTCTGACATTGTGACCAGAATAAAGCTTTCACAAGGTCAAAACAACGCTATATTATTCCAGTTCAAATTGACAAGGTCAAAAGTCAGTAAACTGTTGGTGATTATCAATAAATAAATATTAACATTTGATAAACTGTCAGCATGAATCCTTTTTGAAAGGACATGTCATTAAACCAGTTGTACTCATAACTTTATTGAAGACTTATGGTAACTAGAGGCATAGGCTTTTCTGTTTCTGCATTGGGCATCATGTGTTTTCCCAAACAGAAAGTGATGCTAATCATCCTGCACTAACACTGCGTCAGTGATTGTAAACATGTGTTGTTGAATATTAGTACATAATCAGGTGAGCTACAGGGCAGTGACACCACTTTTCCATAACTTCAATGTTGTATTTTTCATTTCTGTTTGAATATATTTGGTTTCAGTGAAGAATTGGATATAGACTTGAAAGACATCTACTACAAACTGCGATGTGTTCTCTTTCCTATTCCACAACTTGGATTCAATAGGCATATTGTGAGAGAGAGCCCTGACTTCTGGGGTCCACTACTTGTTGTACTTCTCTACTCAGTAATATCGCTCTATGGACAATTCAAGGTAAGAAAGAGTATTATTGACCAGTAGATTTTTGTGTGTGCATCATTTTGCTAGTATCACCTGCTGACAGTTCAAACAACATTCTGCTAAATCCTTTCTAAACGTTATCCCCCTGGCATACAATGCAGGTTGATATAGTCATCATCTGGTCCATCCATCTGTCCTATTTCGTTTCCGGAGCATAACTTGAAAACCGTAAAAGTTTTCATCCAAACTTGGTGCATGTAGTAACCAGGGGCTGAAGTGGTGCCTTTTGCTATTGTGAGGGCTGGGGATATTTGTATCTTTTGATGACTGTTTTTTCCATATTTTGTATTTCTTTTTTTGATGACACTGCAGCCATGTAACTTCCAAAAAAACCTGTCATTCTGAATATAAATTTTGAACATTTAAATGTATAAAGATAAGCTGATTGTTAGGTCAATTGATCGCAGGCATCTCAAACAATCACACAGTCGAACCTTGTTGTGTGAAACCAGTAGGGACCTGGAAAAAACATTCCAGTTATCTGGGGTTTGAGATCATTAAGGTTCGAATGCAACAATAGATTTCAAGGCATATGTATATTTCAGGGCAAGGTGCTGGTTGCGGCAACGCAGGCGTATCATTGACATCACTGTTCCCATCTGGATTGATGTCATATCTTAAATAATAGATTCACTGACATTACCTTAAACCTGCAACTGCACTATAAATAGCTTGAGATTTCACGAGATCCCACAAATATGGAGTGGCAGTCTGAAACCTCTCCACTTGGGACATAGGAAAACTTCTAGCTTGTTTACTAAACTAATCTGGATGCTTCTTGTTGTCACAGATGTAGTTGTGACAGTGTGAATGTGATCTTTTATTAATGACAAACACACAGTTTTGTAGCTTTTGATAAATTTTACTATCTTCCCAAAACATGATTTAGGTTCTCGCAGTCATGAGTTTACTGATCCAACACAGAAAGGTACAGTCTTGTAAAATATTAGACAAAGTTGAAATTCCCGAGTGAAACTCTTTTACTTCGCGCACAAGTTTTAAAATACAAACTGGGATCACTTTCAAGTTTTGTCCACACCAATCCTTAATCTGCTGCTATGTTTAATATCCATTTCTTCAAGTCCGAGTGTCTACGATCTCTCCATACACTTCGTCTATTTAGCTCAGTCCAGAAGTATTGGCAGCACTGTTTTCGAATCAACGAATTTCTGCCACATGGTGGCCACACCATTCCCCAACTACTATTGCCTGTGCTATGTCGCTCATGGTTGACAATAGCAGTGTGAACAGACATATTCGCCTGTTTCTGATTCCACGATGAAATCGAGCTGTGACACTGATTCACTCATCCCAAAAATTGGCACTGAATTTGTCAAAGTTTCCGTTGCACTTACAAGGGCGGGAAGAGAGGCGCCATCTTGTTGATTCGAGTTGGCGGTCGGAATGATGAAATCTTGAATTGGAACTTTATCCACAATAAAGTCACCAATGTCATGATCGAAATGACCAAAGCCTCCCTGATGACCTCTAACAACTCACCGTAAAATTAAGTGTCACATGCAAACGTTGTGTTGCTCATATTGAAGAAAAGCGAACTTGCAATGTTCTTGACAGTTGTAAACTCGGATGCGCTCATGGGGCGTGGCTGCTGGAAGATCATGGGGAAAACAAAAGTTTTAGAAATAAATAATCAAAAGTGCAATCAAAAAGTACCATGAACAGGATGTTTTTAAATTATAGTATTCACGAAAACATTTCTTTTTTAAAAGTGCAAATTAATTTATTAATTCATGCCAAGGTTGTAACCCTGATCACGTGGGTGGGTATTTCAAAGGAATCTTATGATGATGCCGTGAATTAGGCTGTGTGTATTACATTGTTAAAATCAACTGACCAGGAAGATTGTCGAGGCATTGACATTATGACACATGCTCGTCATCGATGGAGAAAAAATGCATCTGAGAAAAACATTGTTGCTTTGAGCTTTAAGACCAAACATGTGTTCTTGCCGAAGTAGTTTACAAGAGAGGATGATCTGTGTAGCCAGTGACCTGAATAATCTTGATGAAAATAAAGTTGAAATCCATATTCACGCACATGACAGAATTAATGTGAATAAATATTTATCTGAACATCATTTCGTAGTATGTGAGGCTGTCCGTGTGAAATGATATGAAGTGTTTGCGTTTAACTTTTTCCTGCCTCTGAGGAAAATATGCACCGATGTAATAAAAGAAATACCGCCAGATCTACCATTGCACAGTCATAAAAGAAACAAGTTAACTTTATCTTTCTTCAGTTGTACGTTACAAATTTATTTCTCAAGCAAAGCGAATCGATCCACATCATAAATTAATTTGACCCATGAAGATCCAGGGTAGAAAAGGTCTTCAGCAACCTATGCTTGCCATAAAAGGCGATTATGCTTGTTGTAAGAGGCTACCTACGGGATCGGGTGGTCAGGCACGCTGACTTGGTTGATGCATTTCATCGTATCCCAATTATGTGGATCGATGCTCAAGATGTCAATCGCTGGATTGTCTGGTCCAGACTCGATTATTTACAGATCACTGTCATATAGCTGGAAAATTGCTTAGTGTGGTGTTAAATAGCAAACAAACAATCATAAATTTTTGTTTTAAAGTGTCATGAAATTTACACAATTATTTTAATAAATGATGTACAGTCAAGTCCCGTTAATCTGACATCGATGGTTGCAAATGATTATGTTGGATTAACGAGTATGTCGGATAAACAAAATTTAGTAGTATCAACGTTCGTGATCGAAAATCGGACAACTACACGATAGATAAGGATTCAAACACGTAATAAAAAATATAAAATATATATTCATATTGTTATGTTACATTGTTGGCGGAATATGTTTTCTAATCATGCAACCACTAAAGTTTAACACAAATCAACTGTTACGGACTGTATGACCGATTCAAAATACTTTAAAGCATAGTCTGGAATGGAAGTCGCAACTTTGAAACTGGTACCCAAAGCTTAAGAAAGCTGCTTTCTAAGTGGCTAACGTCGACTTCCTGTTGGTCATTTCATTGGTAGGTCATAGGTTCGCGAAAGGTTGTTCTGACGTGACCACCTGTAATGGGATGTCCTCGGCGATAGCGAGAACTTGTATCTGATCTTTATAAGATTGAGGTAATCTAAGCATGTGAATTATCCTGTTTTCTTTATTTAAAGCATTAATTGTTTATTGTTAAACAAGTTTATCTCTGCAGCCGTTGCAATATGCAGCTACCAGTCGATTCGTCTCGCATTAAAACACGGGCTGTGTACTCGCGGGCAGATGACCACGGAGTACGCTGGTCACTGTCGGATTAACGAGACTGATTAATGAGTGATTTCAGTAATTTGTTGCAAATTAGGTGTGTCGGAGTCGGAACAGGGACTGGGTCACTGGGACCTGCAAAGTTGAGTGATTTTGGCATGAGGAGCTTTCGGACAAGTGTGACTTTGCCAAAACACATTGCTACTGGGCAATGAAAACAAGTGACAGAAACGACAAAAAAATACTCTAATCACTTGAAAATATTTTTGACCATTATCAGGTTGTTTTTTCACGATCATTGTCATCCAGATTCCAGATGAAGGCAAGACAAACACAACAGAAAAAAACACTGTTGAAATCACCGATTGGTGTACATATTGTGAGAAATGCTATTCATAAACTGCAGATATTCTGTACACCACAGAATTATGATACATATTATGGTGTTTTGTTCAATTCCACTGCAATTATTCATCACGACAAATGTATTTCATTCTCGACCAGAGAATAGGGAAGAACTATAATTTGTGTATTGGACAAATTTTGGACATTCCAGAGTATCATTTTATGAAGATGTGAAGACGACATGGCAGGTAGGTTTTTAAACGAAACACTTTTGTTGAAAAGCCTTGGAATCGTTTGATGGATATTTATTACCATTAAAACTTACATCCTTATGTCCTTGTTGTCAAAGGGCCAACGTGAGTGGCTGTTTACATTAACCAATGAAATTTGTGTTATCATGACGTCATATTGACCTGTCAGATAACTCGTATAAACTCCACCCACTCAGATTGTGGTAGTTCCTACCGCAGATGCCCCTTTAAAGCTCTGCACGCTAACGTTGAACCAATTTGACAGAGGTGTCACTTCCCGTGCATCTGATGTCAAACCCATTCGACAGGCGAATACCTTAACGACACCCCAAAATAAAACTTGCCATATCTATTTACCAAGAAGGCTTTGCATTACATTTAAATTACGTATGACATGCATAAATGCTCAGGTTGCTCAGTCTTAAAACTTTCAGAACTAGGCCAGAATTACTGGGCTCGATCGTAGCGCCACCAGTGGCTATTACCAGCTATGTCCCTTCTAAGCCTCTCCTATGGACCAATCAGATTCCACCTCTCGTATCACTTGCGTTTGCTTCACACAAAATGGTGGCGCCCAGTCAGGACGATCTGATCGATAATCAATATCTATATTGTGATAAAACGTGTCTTACATCGTGAAATGCATCAAATCACGTGAGCCCCTTGATTAAAAACATGAAAAGATTTGAAAAATATCTGCTGACAACGAGTTGGCGGTGCACATGTTTTGCAAATCCTGCAATCGACCGAAATCTGAACGACAGTTAACGAACCGGATTTTGATTTCGGTGCACGATTTTGCTTGGACTATGCATAGACTCGTTAGTCCAGCCAAAATGTAACTCCATAATACCAGCCTAGTTGTAAGGGTGGAAACTAGACTTTTATAGTCAGTTAACTCTCTTGCCTCGGGAAGATGTAATTTCTAACAATTAGCAACTTTCAGTGTAACTAATTGTAAACAAAAACAATCTGAATCGTAACATCATCAATTAGATGGAACTTGTACGATCATTTCAACGGCGGTAAACAAACAACTCCACATGCATAGTTATCCCGTTAGACTATTACAATCATTTTGTTACATCTAACTAAATTTTCTAAAATTATTGACACACGTATAAATCTTTGTAAAAAAAATCATTTTTAAAGAGTTTGCAAATGATTTCGTTTGATGAACTTTCGGACACATTGATAAGCCGACAAACGTCAGTGACACGTTTGGGCGTGGCCTAACTCGCGATTTGTTGAGTTGAACAAAGTCAACAAACACTGCGAAAAATGACAAATATTGGATGATAGGAAAAATCTGAACTGATATACATTCTAGGTAAACCATTCAATAGCAAAATAGTGCAGTTTACGAGAAATAATCAAAATACTTGCAATTTTAGCTATCATTTCTGAAACCAGAAGCACATATCGCATGTGACACATGGAAGCAAAATATGCAAAAGTTGGTAAGCTATCATAAAGAAATTCCGAAATAGATTCAAATACAAAGAAAAAACATAATTTACTATTTTTCGTCAACTATTATCTATTTATTGATCTGGAGAGCAGTCTTCACTCATATTTGTTTCATATTTCTTCGTGATTGTCGCCATCAAATGTATCAGTCTAAATCCGAAACCGTAATGGATTTCACGCTCGATGATTTTAATTTAAAATTATTTTTCTGAAAACGAACGCAACGGGGAGTGATATAACATATTGATATGCCAAAATAATAACAACATAATATTGTTATTGGTCTAACATTACAAAAAGAACAATTTAGAAAATTAAAGATGTTGAAACTTTCTGAGAACCTCCCGTCCTCTGAACCAATTAAAATTTTGGTACACAGCGACTGTATGGAGGTAGTGCAAATATATATAGATCTAGGCTCCTATATATGTGATTTTGTACCCAAAACAAATTAAATTGTACCCAAAATACTTTGTGAAATTGTACCTAAGAAAATAAGACAATAGATATATAATTATATTTATGTTTTCGTGTAGATGAACAGAACACACATTAAAATATTTCATCAAGTTCATAATATATGATTATGACTGTGATCCTTGAAATTGTTTAGTTTTGATAGAAAATTGACGTCTTGTCACTGAAGAAGAGGCCAGTTAAGTTGGTTAAACCTAAGTTAGAATGTATTGTTTTGATAGTATGTTAAGTTTAAGACACCAAAATTAATGTATATCTTTGAAATAATTCTAGGTAGATCTACAAAATCACATACTCATTTGGGTACCAAATCACTAGAAATTTTGGGTACAAAAGTCACTAGATCTACTGTACATTTCAACTGGTTTTTGAGAATCAATGGGATAAAAACATTTTTTGTCTGAATGATTCCTTTTCTCATTTTAAGACAAGAATTTGTTTTACGTAACATAACAGGTAGATCAACACGGTTCACATTTTGTCCTTAAAATATATAAAAATGTGAAAAATATGGACACCTCAGAAATGAGGGCTTTTAAAGTTATAATTCTACCTAACTTGTCACATGGTTTGACTAAGGTCTATTTAAGGAAAGTCCTTATGAAAATCTTTTTTTAAATTTTTTTATGACACTGACAATTTCTGGCACTTAGACAAAGAGTATTCAAGGAAAGACAGATATTTTTTTAATTGTAAATATGACTTTCCTTTATAATTCTTGTTTCATGATGACAGGGGAACTTTTACACACACCAGCTGAGGAAGTTGTGATACTGTGATTTTATACAAAGGAAAAACAGGTTTGCAGCAGTTACTGAATATGCAAAACGGACCACATAAGGTGAACTAAAGTCATGGGGCGTGGCTGACCAGAAAAAAATACATAATTCTGGCAAGGGTAAACATGTCTTTTCACTCCAACCAGAAGACTGAGATAGCATTTTCTTAGAAACATATGGCTAACTCACCAGCTTATGTGCCACCATGGTTCTTGTGATTACCGGTAAACAACCAAAAATGTCATGTACTGTTACAAGTAAGTAGTGTATCATATTACTATTACAAATATATTTTAGAATTGTTTTATTTGGAAACAAACCACTTAATGCACAAGATGAATGTCCATGAGTTTAGTATGTATATGTTAAGGATCTGATAAATTTATTTAAACTAAAGATAATAATTAAAGTTTGATCAGTAACATTGTGCAGTAGTATAGGTAATGATGGTTCTGGACCACTTCCACTGGAGCCAGATTTATATACCTATACCACTACTACAGATGGCATTTTTTTGTTTCAAAATGATGATGCAATTCAACGATCGTCATGAGTCATATTAAAAGAAACATCAATATTAATTAATAATGAATCAAATATACTATAGCCCACAAGGATATTCGAAAGGTATAGGAGCAATACAAAAATTAGCCACTGCGGCTAAGGTATCTAAATATGTGGCCAAGGATTGGTTAAAGAAACAAGGGATGTGGCAAATATACTTACCGGCACCGTGTTATATACCAAGGAAGAAGTTTGATATTTTTACAACGAATGAAGTTCAACAGGCTGACCTCTTGTTTCTTCCCCATGATAAGGTAAGATGCAAAATGTATAAATACGCTTTAACCGTAGTGGATGTGGCTAGTCGATACAAAGAGGCTGAGCCATTAACCTCGAAAGATTCAACAGAAGTAGCTAATGCACTAAGCCGCATATATAAACGTGAACTACTAAAATGGCCCAAGCTATTTCAAGTAGATCCTGGTCGCGAGTTTATGGGATCAATAACTAAACTGTTAACAAAGCACGATGTCGAAATAAGGCGTGGTGAAAAAGAGGCCCACTGTAGTCAAGCTATCGTTGAAAGATTTAACCGGAAATTGGCGGAACGTTTGTTTGGCTATCAGTATGGGATCGAAATGAAATCGGATTGATTAAGATCAACCGAATGGGTGACACGATTATCAGCTGTTGTATCAGCGCTGAATAATGAAGTAACGAGATTTATCGGGAAGAAACCATCCGATGCGATTAAAATGAAATCCGTGACTTCCGAATCTTCAGCACCGAGGAGGGGCAAAGAACAAAAACTTCCGGATAGAATAGGCGTAAGAAATTTATACCAGCCCAGTGAACTTGAAGAAGGCCTACGTCGCGCAACCAATCCGATTTGGTCTCTTAAGGTATATAACATTATTCGGTTGGTTATGAAAGAAGGAGAGCCTATTCTTTATTATCTTAAAGATGGACTGAGCAGGGCATTTGTACGAGAAGAGTTGTTCATAGTTCCCAATGATACAATACGGTACGGTATTACCACCATAACCATAAGCATAGGCAGTTACACCATCCTTATCAATCCATCTCTTTGTATCTAAGGGGGATAATGATGTCTTGTTTATTCTTAATCCATATATCCTATTATTGTAACTTCTTAAAGAGTTCATCTCGTGTTTGAATGTTCTACCGTTGAATAATGCTTCTTTATACTGTTCGTGTTTGATATGCTTTTTAAACCACATACTTCCTAACACCCTTAGCTTTTCTTATTTCCCCATTATCGGACTTCTTTATAGAATACATCTTAGGTCTTAATCCGACATACTCCGCTATAGGGGTCCCAGCACATTCATCCTTCATCTTATCTAACACCTTTTTATTTAGTACGCTGTGCAGTGGATTAACTTTTGGGTAATCGCTCGTGTCGTACATATCTATTTTTTCTGCCATATCTTTATATACATCCTCGGTTTGTATTTCCATCAACAAAGAATCTGTGTCAGTATATAACACCTCGCATCTATCGCCGTATTGCTTCTTAAGTTCGTTGTAATAAAAGTCATACTTTAAGTGTTTTGACAAGTCGAGAATACTCATACCGACGTACACCAGTCTGTTGAATTTTATATTACTCTTCTGCATATATTCTTCCTCATTAGATCTGACTAATTTAACATCAACACGCTTCCTTAGATTCTCCATAGTTTTACCAAATACTGAGTTATTCATGAGCTTATACAGATTCTTTTCGAAATCGCTTGTAGCTATCTTTCTTAAATCTGTGTTCAACCTTATATAGGGCTCCATCCAAGGGCTTTGATCAAACTTTAGAACTCTGTGTATTTTTTTAAGTTTCATACCTAACGATAGATATAACTGGAGATTTCTGTAGTGAACTATATATTTTGTCTTATCCATCAAATTTGGTACGAGTTTTTCTACGTTAGCTAACCTACTATTACCCATCAAGGAGCGTTGATATTCCGACATCCAATCTTTATTAACCATTAATCTTTTGGGAGCTAGCGGATAACTGTTATGATCTTTATATAAGGAATTTGGATACCGTAATCCAAGTCAACTTCTAGTATGTACCCTTTATTCGCATCATTATTATGGATATCATTCACTTCGACCCACTCAAAACCACCCGTGGGTAAAGGTTGACTCATAGCCCATCCGTACAAATTGTTAGCCTCGAGATATAATATGTGAGTGTCGGGTTTACTAGGATCGTATCCTTCCACTAATTTATTATTAGCCTTAGAATACCTTTTCGCCGCCATCGATATACCACCTCTTAATCCTTTCTCAAAAAACAAGTGCATATCGTAATCTGTGAGTAGTTTTAGTTCTACGCCGGTCTTCTTCAACAATGCATCCCACGATAGTCCGGGACTGGAATAGTACCATGCCGGGTCCAAGCCGTATTGTTTTAAATATGTCTTTCTAAATATCTCGAATATATGGGCGAGTAACAGTACATCGGTTTTTAAGTACAGATCGTGATAATCGCCTAAATTCTTACTACCTAATTTATCCCAGACCGTCAGAGCGTGTTCATAATTGGCATCTGTTATTTTAGATTCTGTTAAGTTACTATAGAATGATTCGAGGGGTGGTAATTCAGTTTCTTCGAATCTAGACCAATCATCCATATATTCGTAAGGATATACACCTTTTCTCAGTAACCAACGACGAGTTATCTTATCGGTATATTGATTTGTTATCGCAAAGTCATCGGGATTGTTTGCATTAGCTAAATTGTCCAGGGAAGATAACAGAAACTATATGGAGTCTATGAATCTAAGCCCATTACTTTGCTTTATTCTAGATTTCCCATCCTTGTCCCTATAATGTATAGGTTTAGTCAACGAGAACGATATGTATTTTTCCATATTATTAGGAATGCACGTTAAACCGCCCTTCGGTCTTTGAGATAGCTTGCATAATGAGATGTGAATCGTATCCCCTAAGGTTGTGAAACACAACGGGGATGGGTATTGTTTGAGAATTCATTTTTAGTTTCAAGTTACACTCGTTATGCGCGGCTCCCCGATAATTACCCGTGACGTGACAATGATATCTTACAGAATCCCCATCCAGGGTTTTATTACAAACATGACAACTCGTTGACTTCTTATAGGCCCTCCAATCATCCCTCGTCATACACATGGGTTTCTTACACGATAAATATTCCCTGATTATTCTCTCTTCTTTTTGTAGATATTCTAGGAACTTTCCCACTGCATCGGGACCTCTGTAAATCACGGGCGGGTTTGTTTTCCCATCATACCTTACAACTATATATCCAAACCCACAAGGAATATGTTCTTGAGTTTTGTACGTAAAACTATCTTGATTGCTTCGGACTGTATTTTCTATAGGTTTGATAAGTGCTTCGAAGTCAATGTAAATAACGTACAGTACTGGCATTTGATTACAATAATGTTCAAATTTTAATATATTTTTTCCCTCTTTAGGCATATCGATCCTGATAGCAGTCTGTCCAACACCTCTACAGTCTTCTTTATGCGCTTCTAATAGATCTTGTCTGCTGTACCCATGTAGGCATCTTTTGCAGAAATATTTCTTTCCCTTATATTTAGTTTGATCGTACAAGAATGATCATACAGATATCATAACCATTAAAATCTAGCTTGGGTGTAGTAGTATAGGTAATGGGGGTTCTGGACCACTTCCACTGGAGCCAGATTTATATACCTATACTGCTACTACACAATGCTACAGGTGGCATTTTTTATGTCAAAATGATTAGGCGATTCAACGGTAGTCATGAGATTAAGGTAAATTGACTCTAGCTCACTAATACCTGGGGCCAATCATTGCTTTAGATGAGCCTAAATGGTAATAAAAATATTCTTTATTATTTTTATCAATAAAGAGATATTTAACATTTTTATTAAGTTCTTCGTTCATTTTACTAGGAGACCAGACTATATAATTACACTCTTCTTGTAAATTGATAAGAAACAATTGATAACCGTATTTGGTTGGTTTGACATCACTGATATAATAAAAACCTTGTGGTAATTCTCTCCATTTATTATATATTATTATATATTTATGTAAGCATTTGTCTAAATGTGATCTAACGATAGTAAGCAATCTATTTTTAATCTCCAACCAGTTCTTTGGTTTTGGCACGGAATAATTGACGTGCTTGTTGCCTCCCCTGTTCTATGAACTTTTTTCCTCGTCTTCGCTAATACCATTGGTCTTACGAGATTTTGATCGAATCTCCTGCTTCATTGCGTTGTATTTGGTGAGTTCTGACAACACTAAACGAAACTCCTCCTCGGATATCTTACAATTGACCATTGCTGTCGAAATATGATCCTCAATGCTGTTCAACTTTGCTTCGGTGAGTATCCGAATACTATCGTATTTTAATGCTTTCTTTTGTAACCTACGAGAAATGAATTTTATCGCTATTCCTGCCAGTCCCGAGACTCCAGCGGCTATTTCCATGCCGAGCACGATAGGCGCGGCGATTATAGTTGATAGTAAACCGACACCAGCTACACCGAGTCCCATGCCAGCTGCTACAAGCGCGGTGTCAACTCCGTCCAGAGCATTCACGGCTCTGCGATACTTTTATACAATCCAAGTCTCAACTCCCTACCCTTCTCTATTCGATGTTTTATGTCGCTTATTTGATGTAATCGAAATCCATCAACAGTTTCCATCTTTTCAATTGCTTCATTGAGCGCCGGATATAAACCCATAGTGTATATTACGATCATATAATAGTCTTTAATTGGTCTTGCTTAAATGTTTTGAGAGTATACATCAACCTTATCAAATGAATATTATACGGCAAGAATATCTTAGTAAGAGAAATGCTGTCACTTTTAATAATTTGGACCCCCTCGAGGGTTGCAACGGGTGATGCTCCAATATGAATAATACTGCAAAGTTGACGCTCGTGTTTCTTGAGCCATTTAATCGATAGACCTGGGCCCGGGATCATGAAACTAACTTAAGATCATATTTTGTCTTAACTCTTAAGATTTAGACTTAAGATCAAATTTTGTCTTAAATCGGGGATCACGAAGCTCAATCACTGAGAATATCTTAAGTCTAAGACAAAATTTGATCTTAAGTCCTAAGGCTGCCCCTGAGTAGACTTAAGACAAAATTTGTATCAAGAAATATGGCAGAGGTTGTTCGCCTCATGCGTCGCCTAAGGGCTAAAAAGGACAAAACAACAATTCATCGCACATTTCGAGATCGTTTCAACCCTCTTGATTTGTACAACGACGAAGAGCTCTTTGAGAGATACAGATTTCGTCGTTGTACCATTTTTTTCATTGTTGGCTTAATCGGTGATGAACTGGCACACCCCACTCAGCGTTCACACAGTCTCCCACCTATTATTCAGGTTTTGATTTTCCTTCAGTTTGTTGCCACTGGGGCTTTTCATTTATTAGTTGCTCAGTCGTTCTGTATCAGCAAAGCAACAGCCGGCAGGTGTGTCCGACGAGTGGCAGAGCTACTCTGTAGGCTGTCGTCTCGCTTCATCGCTTTCCCGACAGGCCAGAGATCACATGACGTGAAACGTACCTTCCATGCCATTGCCGGTAAGTAATACACCCAAAATTGACATTTGAGCATTAATATAACACTCTGAATAGACATATACACGATAAGGATACATACAGTGTTTTCCCCCGAGTCTCCGAAGGCAGCCATTTTGATCTAAAATTAGAACACGACACAGGTGCCACCTATAATTTACTTTACCGTATTCGTGCTAAAAGTGATGAAACTACATCGCTCTGCTTCAGTTCCACAAGCATGCTCAGATCACTGCTAATATTTAATGAATTACTTTATTTAGGATTTCCAAATGTGCTTGGCTGTGTTGACGGCACACAGATTAAAATCCAAACGCCAAAGGTCAACGAGGCTGACTTTGTCAACAGAAAGGGATATCATTCTCTGAATGTTCAGGTACTTGAAATAAAATAATGATGTTTGTTTTTTAAAAATGATTTTTCATCAATTGAAAAATTTCCTTAAACATTGAATTCATACACCTCCTGTAAATAATGTATGAATAAGACTACAGTACAGGTCAGATTATAGCATTTATGTTAACTGAATAAAAAACAAGGTGCATGTTCACAATGACAAATAATTTATTAATACACAAATAAATACAAAGCTTTCAAATGGATGTGTATGTAATTTCTAGCATCTGCAATACTAATTTGACAATACCCAAAACATATGTTTTGGTAAATTTGATACAAAATCTGCAAAATAATGGGTGTACATACAGGTACAGGCTGAGATTTCATTAAACAAATACAATACATCCCAGAGTTTGCTTTTGCTTCAGACTGTTGAAAAATATGTTGTTCGCTTATGCTTCAGACCGTTGAAAAATATGTTGCCTGACACAAAATGAATGTTGAAGGATGTTTTAAAACTGACAAACAAGATGATTTTCCATTCTCCCACCAATCATTCATATTATCAAACATTATTCATAATACAGATTGTATATTTCTTTTACATAGATGGTTTGCGACCCAAACTTTATTATTACTAACTGTGTGGCCAACTGGCCTGGATCATGCCATGATGCCCGCATATTCAGAGAGAGTAAACTCTGTGATAATTTGGAAAATGGTAAGTATTTTAGGATTAAGTGAGGGTTAGTCATAAGAGATCTTGTCATTCTAGGTAGTGCAAGACAATTAATTTCAATACCTTTTACATGGGGCAATAATAAATAGTGACAAAATACATGTTGCATTTTGGTCGATGTAGTGTGAGTCAGATACTGGACATTTTACAGAGCTATTTTGGATTTACAAATCGACATCAATCTAACATAAATTGCATTTCATTCAAGAGTGCACTCCCTTGATGTATTAAATAACAGTTGTATTTTATGTGAGCTTCTTTCACTCCAAATCCCCAGATTTTGCCTCTGAAATCCTGTAAAGTTCACAAATATATTTTACATAAATTTCATAAACCAGGATATGATGCTGATGTTGATCTAAAATAATGTTATGTCTCAATGGCACATATCATGATTTATGATCAATCTGGGAATATTGAAATTTAACAAATCCTTAACATACAGTAAACAATACCCCTGCAAATTAGAATGTACCGGTAAGTATGTTTCCAATAGACATTTTGCAAACATTAATACATGTGGTCAATGATATTACCCACATGGTAAACCTCTACATACATATATCCAACTTTACAAGATATTCTGTGACCCAATATGAATTCTTTATCCATATCCTTAGAAAATCGGTAAAGGTTTCCCTGAAATGTCAACCATAGTAAAAAGATTTCTATGAATATAAGCATCTACATTCAGTGTTGACTCAAGTCCAAAACATCCCAAAAGACAAAGACTAATTACTATTACCATGAACATATATGATGACTACATTAACCAAGTTTCTTGTCAAATTCATTTCATATTTTGAAATTGTAGGTAAAATTGGGCTCTTATCATAGTTGTCCTTTCTGAACTAAAGTTTAAAAACATATGAAAACAAATTGCACATATATATATTTCAGGTGTTCATGATGGATTCCTGCTGGGTGACTCTGGGTACCCCTGTAGACGATACCTGATGACTCCCTACCACAACACTGGCAATATCAGACACAGAGACAGATATAATTATTCTCTCTGCAGAACACGTGTTCTGATTGAACAAACTTTTGGTATTTTAAAGAGACGATTTCCTTGTCTATCTTTGGGACTGAGAACCAATCCAACCAGAGCATGCAAATATGTTGTTTCCTGTGCAATTTTACATAACATAAGAATTTTGAAACAGGATATAGTAATTAATCATATGGATGAGTTGACAGTTCAGGGTCCAGATCAGCAACAGCAGCAGTTTCTGAGAAATGATGGTTTTGGCATAAGAGACCACATTGCCCAGAGCTACTTCAGTAAGAAAAAAAAACACAACCTAAATTAGTCTACCAGGTGGGCACAGTAGAGACAATTTAAGGATAACAACTTATTCATTTACTGTAAAGGTGACATTTCTGAATAGATCCTTATACCGTTGTCAATCAAGGCTGAATAATGACCATGGCACAGAATACTTATTGTTGATGGAGGATTAACAGTAACAACAATTGCATATGTCACAGAGATTAACATGAGTAGTTTAAACAACGACAACAGGAGAATAATACTGTAAGATCAAGATGGCCAGAGAACACATGAAGAGTTGTTATCCATAAATTGTCTCTTCTTTGTCAACTTCTAAGTAATGTGTATGAAACAATTTAATAGGTGGGCACTAATTATGAAAGATGGCATGACATTAAGGGCACATTATTCAATAAAAAATGGGTCAATTTGTCTAATTTGCAGGATTGTTAATTTTTGTTTCAGCTGAGCCAATTTTGTCTGCTCTCTAATAAGTATCCTGCTTTCCTGGATTCTCTGGAGCTCCTGCCTAAAAATTTCCTCCTCTGTAGTTAAATTATTTTGTGGTTCGGGGATAATGCTGTTTGACAAGAAGTCCTCTACCCCCAGGCTGGCCATGTTTATGTCCAGAGGTACTGCTGCTGATAATGCCTCCTCGCCTGTGTCCACTGATCCTGAAATATGTAAATACAAAACAGTTATTACACATAATTCTGTTGTGATTCCGTACCCAAAACATTGAAAATGCTGCATATATACACACACCTATGTAACTTACACATGATGTAACATGTAATTAGTTCAGTGAAATATTCCACTGAATTTGAGTTAACATACAGGCTCCATACAAGCAGATTGAAATATTTCCCATGTAGGATATTTCTATAATTCATTAAGATATACATATATACATGTATTTGGACCCTGTACTGACAACTCTGTGTGTGTGTGTGTGTGTGTGTGTGTGTGTGTGTGTGTGTGAATATAATGTAAAATTCACAATGAAATTGGTAATAAAGGGTGATGAGATTCTCCGCTTTCTTATTAAAAAGTTAAACTATCCCATTGTGTTGTTCACACATATCATACCTCTAGCATAACTATGAGACATGGTTTATTGTGACAATGTCATGTCAGGAATCATCTTCTTACAAGATGTAAATTTAATATTTTTGTTTGTGCAGAAATAAGTACCACTACCTCCCTGCCTACTCTTACGATTTTATCAGCTATTACCCTTCATTACGTAATATTATTCCACTAAATATTTCTTTAATTCCCTTTTACTCACTTGCCTTATTCCTAAATTAATCCATCAATGCATAATTACTTTAACATTTTCTATGTTAGATCCAAGCACGGTTTACCTCACATCCCGTCTATTTTTTATACGCTGTTTACTTCCGTTGTCTCACAGCTACATAATGTACCTTCACAATTTTATCGTAATCCTAAATATACTTACGCATACCATCAACTATTATCTTTTTCTTGTATTAATATGTAATCTCAGCATCTATATCTTGTACATTTCTATTAATAATTCGCAGGCACCATTTCTTAAATATTAATTCATGGTGCATCACGGTCTTTATTATTTCCGACATGTTGCGCATGCGTATTCTATGTTCCTTCTCAGTTCTTCGTCCGCCATGTTTCACCAATTTTCTCGGGCAATTGCGTACGTAACTTTAATCTATTAGTCCCAAACCGCATCGTACGTGCCCGGATACAGTCACATATCCATAATGGCTAATAGGCGACCCGCACGAGTTAGCACACGGCGACATACATTGTCAGAAACGGACGAAACAGAAACATCGACTAGCGCCTCACGGTCACGTCAGGCTAGAAGACAGATCCCTTACCTAACAACCGAAGGCTTGCGTCAACGTCTAGAAGACATGGGGTTCAAACTTCCAAAAGCTTGGGGACGGAAGATGCTGTTGCAACTATACACTGAGAATCCCCACAAGAATACAGTTGAATCCAGCGAATCTCCAACGCGGTTGACTACTGGGAGGTCACGGCCCACACCTGCTGCCACTGTTAGTAGGGCACCAGACAACCCACTAGCAGACCCAGACCTGGTTGCCTCCCAGGCTAATTTAGACATGGATCATCATGTTGGCAATGGACCCACCATCACGTCCCTCCAAAATCAGTTGAAGGAACTAACAGACCTTGTCTACACCTTGGCACAGAATCGGTCATCTCCAGCACAACAACTGGCTTCAGGCAACATAGCCTCTCCAACTCACATGGCCCAGGGTCCTCCAGCGACGTCGCCTGCATGTCAAGATTTGTCTCAGATTGGCATCTACCAACGTTCCCAAGATACAACTTTTCCAGGACCACATCTATTTCCTCAGGTTGGACACACTATGGCAGCGGTGTCATCAGATTCCCTCCCACCAATTGATCTGGTCCCTGAGCAACTTGTGACAAAGATCCGGGCAGGTAAATATGTCAATCTGGCATTGCTCTTGACCACTGTTCACGACTTCGGGGACGGTAAGGGAGAAACAGCTCCTAAACTGACTAGACCCTTGTCTCCTCGGGAATTCACTAAAGCATTCCGAACGTATCGAAACATCTACTGTGGCCAAGATGTTCAAAAGAAAGCACAAATGGAATCTCACGAGGAATATGTGTTAGACCTCGCGGCCCAATACGAAGCAGACGGATACTATGAGTACCACAAGCGATTTGCCATGAGAGTGGCAGCTTATGCAGCTATTGGAAAACCAATAGATTGGTCAAAACCTGATACTAACATTTTTAATGCCTGTTGTGCCCATTTGAAGAGGAAAGTGTGTTCCGGATGTGACAGCATAGATCACATCAAAGCAGAATGTCCTAATGCTCCCTTCTCCTTCAAGCCAGTCAAGTTCCCTGGCGATCGAATCCACTATCAGTCCCGAACCAGCAGAGAACAAGATTCGAAAGGTCGCACACGCGTGTTCCATGCTAACAGAGAAGTATGCAATAACTTCAATGAACTCGGGTGCACCAGGGAACGGTGTAATTTTGCACATACTTGCCTGACCTGCCAAGCTACCTCTCACGGTAAATCCGTCTGCCGGCAGAATAAACGCAAATCTGATCAATGACAAGACTTGGTGGATAGCCCTCCATTGAATGTTCGTGTCCTAACACATGAACTCCAAGCACATCCAGATCGTGATTTCGCAAATTACGTTATTCAAGGATTTACATTCGGATTCAATCCCATGATTACTGCAGCACCAACTGTGACTTTAGAATGTGCGAATAATCTTACTGCCAGGAGAAATCCACAAGCCGTGGATACAGCAGTTCAAATAGAGGTTGATAACGAGTATGTATGTGGACCTTTTCACCTACCTCCCTTCAAAGTTTGTTGTATTAATCCACTCGGTCTGGCAGTGGGGAAATACTCTGGCAAACAGCGTTTGATTCTCGATTTGTCCGCTCCACACAACGACAGCAATCATAGCATCAATGAATTAATTGACAAGGACACATGTTCTCTATCTTATGTGACTATAGACAATGCTATCCGTATTATTATGCAATTAGGACCAAATGCGCTCATGTGTAAGGCCGATATTAGAGACGCTTTTAAACAGGTCCCTATTCAGAAAGACTTTTGGCCTTACTTCGGATTCAAATGGCGCGGTAGTTACTATTTCTACAAACGTTTGGCTTTCGGATGCAGGTCAAGCCCCAAAATTTTCGACAACCTGTCTCAAGCCCTCTGCTGGATTCTCCAACACAATTACCATGTTCAGAATATTCTCCACCTCCTGGACGATTTTTTGACAGTTGATTCTGCCAACTACCCAGCGGATAAAACCATGACAGACCTACGTTATGTTTTCCAGCTGCTCAACATTCCTCTATCAGCCAAGAAGACCGTGGGTCCTACAACAAGATTAGAGTATCTAGGCATCATATTGGATTCCACTACTATGTCTGCTCATCTACCCCAAGACAAAGTGCTGCGGATTATCAGCGTCATTGAAACCTTCATGCACAAGAAAAAGTGTACGAAGCGGGAGCTACTCTCCCTGCTTGGCCACCTCAATTACGCAGGCAGAGTGATACCTCCTGGTAGAGCTTTTGTCTCTTATCTAATCAGCTTATCCACGACAGTCAGCAAACTACATCACCACGTTTCGTTGTCCAAGGAATGCCGAGTAGATCTGTGCATGTGGAGAGAGTTTCTTCTTCAATGGAACGGAGTGTCCTTTTTCCACGATACCCGAATCACGGATTCCTACGACATCGAACTATTCACTGACGCAGCTACATCTACAGGCTTTGGTGGTTTTTTCAAAGGAGAGTGGTTCGCCGATACTTGGCCCCCAGAGATCAGATCAAACTCTACTCTGATGAAGAGTACCGCGTTCTTGGAACTCTATGCCATTGGGGTAGCAGCTTTTGTGTGGGGAAAACATTGGTTTAGACGAAAGATCTTGTTTCGTTGTGACAATCTCGCTGTCGTTCATATCATTAAGAAAGGCAGAGCTCGTTGTAAGCACGTCATGGCATTAATGCGTAAACTCACTTGGTTATCTGCCACTCATAACTATGTCATCTTAGCCAAGCATGTACAGGGAGTGCATAATGAACTTGCTGATGCTCTCTCACGTTTCCAGTTCCACAGGTTCCGCCAGCTAGCCCCTCATGCAGCCCCCATCGCCACGCCGTGCCCAGACAGCTCAGCCGTGACATGGTACTGAACCAGCAGTTAGTCAACATGTGGACAGCTTCCCTCGCCCCGCGCACCGTGACTACCTACTCTACTGGTTATCAGAGCTACCTTAACTTCCTCATCAGATATCAACTGTGCCATCCTCTACGCAACCATCACCAGCTGCCAGTTATAAGCGAGATACTGCTACAGTATTTCATTGCCTACTGCTTAAGCGTCCTGCATCTCCAATGTGCAACAGTCAAGAACTATCTAGCAGGTATCCGTTTCGTCTACCTTCGAGCAGGTATTGATACCTGCCTTGATCACCCTACTGCACCTAGTATGAGTAGATTACAGACCTTACTTCGAGGATACAAGAAGCTGCATATTTCAAGCACTAAGAAACGTCTACCTATCACCTACAACATCTTGACATGCATTGTTGCGGCATTAAGGAATGGAGTGTTTGGTGCCCATGACGACCTTGTCATGGAAGCTATGTGTTCTCTAGCATTTTTTGGCTTCCTGCGGTGCGGGGAGTTCACCTGTGCAAAGTCTTTCGACCCAGACGTCAATGTGTGTATTAAAGATGTAGTTCTTCACCCTAGTCAAGCTAAGTGCTCTGTTAACCTTAAAACCTCTAAAACAGACCCGTTTCGCCAAGGAGTCACGGTGAATGTATTCGCTACTTCAGGATCATGCTGCCCTTTCTCAAGTATGAGGTTACTTATGTTTGCGCGGCTTCAGTGTGGTGCGAAGCCTTGTGATGCAATGTTTACCGATAGAGCTGGTCTTCCTGTGACTAGATCTGCTTTCCTGTCCTGGCTTAACATAGTGCTGTGCAGAATCGGCCTGAACCCCTCGTTGTACTCAGGCCATTCTTTTAGAATAGGAGCTGCCACTACAGCAGCCCACATCAATATTCAGGATCACATGATCAAGACCTTAGGTCGATGGTCTTCAGACTGCTTCACCAGGTATATCCGTACCCCTGAAGATGACATCCGACGAGCTCACTCATCCATGGCTCGATCTTGACACTACGACAGGGACACTTCCCTAGACTCTCAGCTACACCTGGCTTTCGTGTGTCGCAGTGACAATCATTAGTTTAGTTTACTTCAGTATTATCGTTGTATCAATGGTCCTAAACCACCATATCATGTATATCTTTATTCTACTTTTCACCTTATATTCATTGGGGGCTCTCGGTTGTTACCTCGCTTT